AGGGATCCAACTTCATTCTTCTGGATATGATTAGTCAGTTTTCCCATCACTGATTATTGTCTTTTCTTCAAAGTTTGTCAACTTTGCCAAAGATCAGTTGGCTGTAGGTCAGGGCCTGTATTTTGGGGTTCTCTATTCTGTTCCATTGATCTGTATGTCTGTTTTTGTACCAGTCCAAACATACCATGTCCAAATGTATGGACCTTTTAATGTGAGTGATTCCTCCAATCCATGAATATAGAATGTTTTTCCATCTGTTCATGTCACCTTTGATTTCCTTCAGCAGTAATTTCTAGTTCTTCCTGTAGACATCTTTTACTTCCTTGGTTAGATGCATACCCAAGTTTTTAAAAATTTTGTGGCTATTGTAAATGGGATCGTGTTCTTTTTTTTATTAATCAATATTTTTTATTATGGTGTTGTGGGGTACAGTTAAGGGTTAGGTATACAAGTATGTTTCATTCAGGCACCCTGTTGATAAGAGGTATTTCCCTGTCCCCAGACAGATATTTGCTGCCATTGATCCCATCTCCCTCCCCCCCCATAGTTTCCCACTACTGTCAGTCATTTTCTTATAGTATTACATTGGATGTTAAAGTTTCCATTATATGAGTGATAAGTGAGAACATGTGATACTCGGATCTTTGTTTCTGTGGGATCGTGTTCTTGATTTGTTTCTCAACTTGAATGCCTTTAGAGTATAGAAATGTTGCTGCTTTGTGAATGCTGATTTTGTGTCCTGAAACTTTAAAGTCAGTTATTAAGTCTAGGAGTCTTTTGGTGGAATTTTCAGGGGTTTCTAGATATAGAATCATGCTGTTTGCAAAGAGAGATAATTCGACTTCCTTTTTTCCTATCTGGATACATTTTATTTCTTTCTCCTGCCTGATTGCTCTGGTTAGGACTTCCAGTACTAGGTTAAATAGGTGTGATGAGAGTGGACATTCTTGTCTTGTTCCAGTTCTTAGGGTGAATGCTTCTTACTTCTGCCCATTCAATATGATGTTGTCTGTGGGTTTGTCATACATGGCTCTTATTATGCTGAGGTATGATCTTTTGATTCCTAGATGGTTTTTATCATGGAGGGACATTGGATTTTATCAAATGCCTTTTCTGCATCTACTACTACTGTGTAGTTCTTGTTTTTGATTCTGTTTTTGTGGTGGATTATGTTTATTGATTGGCATATGGTGAACCAACCTTGCACTCCAGGAAGAAAGCCCACCTGATAATGGTGAATGATTTTTTTTTGTGCTGCTGAATATGGCTTGCTGGTATTTTATTGAGGATTTTTGTTTCTCTGTTCATCAAGGATATAGTTCTGTAATTTTCTTTCTTTGCTGTTTGCGTTTTTGCCAGATTTTGGCATCAGGGTGATATTGCTTGGTAAAATGAGTTAGAGAGGAATCCCTCCTCCTCTATTTTTTGGGACAGTTTCAGAAGGTCAGTACCATCTCTTTCTTGCATGGCTGGTAGAATTCAGCTGCAAATATTTCTGGTTCAGCACATTTTTTCATTGGTAGGTCTTTAATTATTGATTTAATTTGTGGCTCATTATTGGTCTTTTCAGAGTTTCAATTTCTTCTTGAGAAATTTTGTGTTTCTAAGACTTATCTATTTCCTCAAGATTTTCTAGCTTACATGCAGAGAGATGCTTATAACAATGTCTGATAATCTTTTGTATTTCTTTGGAATCTATTGCAATATCACTTTTTTCATTTTTGATTGTATTTATTGGATTCTCTCTCCCTCAATTGGATTGATACTCTACCAATCTTGTTTATCCTTTCAAAGTATCAGTTTTTGGTTAATTTATCCTTTGTATTTTTTTAATCTCAATTTTGTTTAATTTTTTCTGTTTTAGTTATTTCTTTTCTTCTGCAAACTTTGGGTTTAGTTTGTTCTTGTTTTTCTAGTTCCTTTAGGTGACATCAGGTTGTTTATATGAGATCTTTCTATATTCTTGATGTGGGCATGTAGTGTTGTAAACTTTCCTCTCAGCACTGATTTGTGGCATTCTAGAGGTTTTGGTATGTTGTGTCTTTGTTTTTATTTGTTTCAAAATATTTCTGTCTTGATTTTGTTGTTTGCCCCCAAATTATTTAGGAGCCAGCTGTTTAGTTTCTATGTTTTGTTGTGGTTTTGAGGGTTTCTTTTCATGTTGATTTTTAATTTTTACTCCAGTTTAGTCAGAGAAGATACTTGGTATAATTTTGATTTGGTTTGGAATTTATCAAGGTTCGATTTATGACAGAGCATGTGATTGATCTTAGAATATGTTTCATGCACAGATGAGAAGAATATATATTCTATGGTTGTTGGGTGAAGTGTTCTGTAGATGTCAGTTAATTCCAGTTGGTCAAGTGTCAAATTTAAGTTTCCAATTTCTTCGTCAGTTTTCTGCCTCAATGATCTGTCTAAAGCTGTTAGGAGGGTGTTGAAGACTCCCACTGTTAATGTGTGACTGTCTAAATAATCTCTTAGGTTTAGTAGTAATTATTTTATAAACCTGGGTGCTCTAATGTTGAGAACATATACATTTAGGATAGTCAAGACTCCTTGTTGGATCAAGCTCTTTATCATTATGTAATGTCCTTCATTGTTCTTTTTTATTATCGTTGGGTTAAATTCTGTTTTATCTGATACAAGAATAATGACCTTTGTTCTTTTTTGTTTTTAATTTGCATGAAAAATCTTTCTCCATCACTTTATCTTGTGTATGTAGGCATTGTTGGCAGTGAGATAGGTCTTCTGAAGACAGCAGAAATGTGGGTCATGTTGTTTTATCCGATTTGCTTTCTGTGTCTTTAAGTGGGGCACTTAAGCCACTGACATTCAAGGTTACTATTGATATGTGAGGTTTTGTTCCTGTCATAGTGTTTTAATTTGATGCTTTGTATTCTCAGTTTTGAGGTTGATTTTATATGATCATGTGGGTTATGTGCTTATGTGTGCTTTTGTGTTAGGTAGTATCATTCTTTCATTTCATATTTAGAAAGCCCTTAAGTATCTCTTGTAGAATCAGTCTGGTGGTGACAAATTATCTTAGTGCTTGCTTGTCTGGGAAAGATCTTATTTCTCATTCATTTATGAAGCTTAGTTTGGCAGGACAAGATATTTTTGGCTGAAATTCTTTTTCTTTAAGAATACTGAAAACAGGCCTCCAATCTCTTCTGGCTTTTAGGAGTTCTGCTGCAAGATCTGCTTGGGAGAGTAATAGTTCTGCTTCTAAAAGTAATATTTTATCCTTTTATTTTTTATTTAATATTTAATTTCTTTACACCACTTAAATGCACTCCTCTTATATTTATATCTGATAATTACATTGACTGAAGTTCTTGAGGTCTAACTCTGTTGCTTGCTTTTTTCTGAAGACTCTCTGTCATGGCAGTTTGTTCCTTTGTACATTTTGCAATGTGGAAGAGTGAGCTCAAGTGAGAAACCCATGGGGCATGAGTTGAGCTGTCCCTCCAGAGTAGATCTATGGACAGTGGCAATGGAGACACTCTATGCTAATTTCTCAGTGTGTAGCTTCCTGGACAATGCCGAGTGCAAATGTGAATCTGAAATCTGGAGAGAGGAAACCTGTGGCTACAATTTCTTGTGGGATCTGACCGGGAGGTCCCCTTGGGTCTGTCTCTGCCTCCTCCACCCCTCTGTTGAGGAAGGAGCTCCTCAGTGGTCATAATTTTGGTTCCTCATTTTTCTGGCTCCTTTTGCTCTAGGTTTGATCCTCTCCCTATGCAGCCTTTAAATGGTGTTGTTGTAAATTAGTACAGCCATTATAGAAAACAGTGTGGGGCTTCCCAAAACACTACAAGAACTACCATATGAGCTAGCAATCCCACTACTAGGTATAGACCCAAAGAAATTGAAAATTATGCCAAAGAGATGTCTGCATTCCCATGTTCATTGCAGCATTCTTCTCAACAGCCAAGATCTGGAGGCAAGCCAAGGGTACGTCAATGGATGAATGGATTTAAAAAAAAGTTGTATGTATACACAATGGAATATTATTCAGTCATTAATAAAGCCAGGAAATTAAAAAAAACTCAATTTGCTGGATCATCCTGGTCACTAAATTTCCCCAGGAAAGCTCCAGTTTCCACTTGCCTCTCTGAATTTCATCTTTTAAAGGTAGGGATTTTCCTCACTTTATTTTGATCTCAGCTATTCATTTGAACGGGAACTTGTGGTTTGTTATGCAGCATTTCTAGGTGTGTTATACAAAAGGACTTCAGGATATCTGGTTTGCCATAGTCCCCAAAATGAAGTTCTCTGTCCCCTTATCCAACGTCACTGAAAGGACTGAAGTCAAGTGATGTGCGTCCCTCCAGCTGCACTCCTGTTCCCCGGAAATATATCTTTCTCAGCCCTTCTTTCCTCTTCATTGCCACCTCTGAAAAAACAATGTCCCACTTTCTCACCACGGCCGATAGCTCGGTTTGTACCCATACTCCACTGACTCCACACTCTCTCATTCCTTGCTTATTCAGCAAGCATTCTCTAATGCCCTTTATGGGCCAGGAGCTTTTTAGACATCGGTGTGCGTACAAAGTCACAGAATAAATAAAACAAGGAGCCTAGAGTCTAGCATAGGCTGAGGCCGAGTGACCCTCGAGAATGTCGCTCCATCCATTCGTCCGTTTACCCTTTGCAACAACCTTCTAGTCTTTTCCTCTCACTCTTCCCTCCCTGGTCTATTGCATGAGTCTGCCTGTGGCCCGCAGCCTAGGGCCACTATCCTCTTCACGTCCATTCACCATTAGCCTTACTGCACGCACCGCCGCCTCCCCATGTCCAGTTCTCTCCAGAACTATTTGAAGCTGTCAGGCGACTGTCTTGCTGAGCACAGAACTTGAAGTTTCTCTTACTGCTGCTAAGCTTCAGAGACAGTGGAAAGGCACATGTGAAGATGGATGTTCTCAGTCGGGGTCTGGAGGACGCGCTCTCTGTGGGCTTACCCTCCTTCCCGTCACGGGAAGCAGCTGCTGTCTTACCTTGCAGTTGTTATCCCAGAAAGATGGTGGCAACAGTCGAGTGGGAAGGTGAGTCCTTAGAATCCGTGGAGAGGGCATCATTTTGGCTTTTTCCACACCTTTAAAAATAATTCAAGAGGAAGCATCTTCATCACACAAGTGCTGCATGGGAACCTTATTGTCCAGACTCTGTCTCTGTCTAGAATATCCCACCTCCGGTCTGTCTTTCTGATAATCTTCTATTCTGACTTTCTTTTGGGATTTCCCAATGGGATTATTGATGTGCCCTTCACTTTTGTAGAATCACACAGCTTGAGAGCTGGACGGGAGCTTAGAGTGAATTCACTCTGTCGTGAGGAGACGGGAGCTGAGAATGGGCAAGTGATGTCTTGTTGAGGCGGAGCGAGACAGGACCAGAGAGCAGGCCTCTCACCCCCCTGCCGGCCAGAGCCGACCCCATGTGCCTGCAGCAGGCTGTGCTATGTACCAGGCCTATTTGCAATCACTTGTTTCATCTCTAGAAACACAGACACTTGCTCGCCTGTGAGTTACGATTTCTACCCTCTCGTTTAAAACTCCTTCTGGATGCTTGCTCTGTGCCATCATTGCGTGAAACTGAGGTTAGGGGAAAAGGCAACACAGAGAAGGAAGACACGGGCCTTCTCTCTCAGGATTTTCCACTCTAGGGCAGGAAATGTGCAAATAACATCGGGGGGAGTTGGCTTGCCATAGTGCTGGGAACCAAAACCGCTCGAAGGGTCTGTAGTGAGACGCTGTTGTGAGGTGGCACTGCTGCATTTAGACCTTGACATACAGCTAATGGGCAACAATCCCTCTGCATGAAGGGTCAGGGAGCCTGACTGAATGGAGGAGGATATTTCTTTTTTTGGAAAGCAAGACTTCTTGAGAAGACAGAAATGTCCCCACAGTGGGAGGGGACACGAAAGGGTCGCCCGGGTATTTCTAAAAAGTAGAAACAAGAACTGATAATAGAATTGCATTTGATTCTGAATGTGCAACAACAAGGTATGCTCTGAAGCAACCTTCCACACGCCCTCCCACCTCCCTGGCTTGGTGTGATGTCTGAAGATGACCAAGCCTCCTGTCCTAAGCATGTAATCCAAGGACCCCTGAGCACTGACTTGAGCTGACCCAGGAGCCAGGTCCTCTCCTGAGTCAGTACCTGGCTGTCCAAAGATAGGGTGGGGACAGAAAAAAGAAGATGGCACTCTCTACCCCTTGCCTCACGTTCTGGGAGGACCATTGCCACACCTTGATGTTTCAAAAACTTCATGCCAGGAAGTTACTCTGAGTGCAATCTTCCCTCCCCTTGTTGTGAATTTGGCTCCTGGACAATCTTTCAGTTTTTGAGTGCTGTGGTGTTGGCTGTTCTCCCGAGCCTCAGGAGAAGGGAGACTTCCTGCCAGATCCAGGAACGAGGATGAGAAGGAGCCCTTCACCTGGGAGGGACCAGGTCTGGAGCTGATGCTCTTGTTACTGACACTTGGAAATGTGAGTGACTCAGATACCTTCAAATCACAGCTGCTTTTGAGCGGTTCTGACCAGGCAGCTTTTCTGCTTGGAAGCCTTGCATGGTCTCTAATACGGACAGCTTTCAACTTGTTCCCTAAGCTGCGTGTATCTCTGTGTGTGAAGGGGCTTGAAGGTGATGCAGAGGGGTTATGCTTTATTCTGATCATTTTTTATTTCATTTCTATGTTGGGAATGCCCAGTTTTTTTTGAGAAGCTGTGGTAAAATACATAAACATAAAATTTACCATCTTCATCACTTTTAAGTGTGCATTTCAGTGATATTAAGTACGTTCACATTGTTGTGCAAACATCACTACCACCCATCTGCAGAACTTTCTCATGTTCCCGAATGGAAACTCTAGCCCCATTCCACACAAACTCCTCACGACCCCTCCCACAAGCCCCTGGCACCCGCCCTTCGACTTTCTGTCTCTGTAAATTTGACCACTCCTAGATACTTCATGTAAGTAGAGTCATACAATATCTGCTTTTTTGTGGCTGACTTATGCCGCTCTGCATAAGGTCCTCAAGCCTTATCCATGTTGGAGCGTGTGCTACAATGGCCTTCTTTTTTGAGGCTGAATAACTTTTCATTGTATGTGTAGACCACAGCTTGTTTATTGACTGGTGGACAACTGAGTTGTTTCTACCTTCCAGCTACTGTGGATAATGCTGTTATAAATGTGGGTGTACAAATACCTGTTTGAAACTTTGTTTTCAGTTCTTTTGGATATATGATCAGAAGTGGAATTGCTAGATCATATAGTTCCAATAACCTTTTTTTTAAATAGAAAAGCATTTTGGTATTACAAAGAAAATTTGGAAAACCACTTTTTTTTTTTGAGTCGGAGTCTTACTCTGTCGCCCAACTAGAGTGCAATGGCATGCTTACAGTCACCCCAGTGTCGACCTGCTGGGCTCAGGTGATCCTTCCACCTCAGCCCTCCAAGTAGCCGGAACTACAGATGCACGCCCGGCGAATTTTTTTGATTTATTGTAGAGACGAGGTCTTATCAAGTTGCCCAGACTGTTCTTGAACCCCTGGACTCAGGCAATACTCTCGCCTTGGCCTCCCAAAGTGCTGAGATTATAGGCTTGAGCCACCACGCCTGGTAGAAAACTTCCAGATTCTTCCGAGGCTAAAAGCACGGTGACCTGGACATTATGAAGACCTCCTCTGTCATCATGCACTTGCAACTTCTGATTAAAATACAACACACACTCTTAAAACATACTACTGGTCTCACAAAAAAACATAAGGAGAGCCTCCAGGAGCCAAAGTCCAGAAGAAACTGCAAAATGGAGAAGGGGCAGAGGCTTTGATGACAGCTGCCCAGCGTTGGTTGGTACCCCTGTCCCCAGGCCCCTAATTCTCTATTCTGTGCCCCCTGCTGGGAAGGTGGGGAGGCTGATAGGCCAGGTTTTTTTAAAAGGCATAGAGTAGGGACAGAGAACCATGCACCAGGCTGAACAACCTGCAATCTCAGAGGAAGGGTGAGAAAGAAAATCTTCACTTACTGGCAAGGGGAGACAAGGTCATGTCCTTGTCTTTGCCTTGGCTCTGGGCAGAAGCAGAGGCTCCTTGAGGATTCATAACCACAACGCTGTCCTCACTCTGCCTTCATGAATGTGAACTCACACTGTCCGCATGGTCCAGAAATTAACTTAAACTGTTCTAGACTGGAAATTCTCCAACACAGGTGTGAGATCAGGGCCACAAAATTGCAAAGCAAATGAGGAAACAGGCCTCATGAGCAAGACTAGGAAAAAATACATAGAGGAATTAAACCCCAGGGACCTCAGTTATTGGGTGCCTTGATAATGAATATAAATAAATATGCTTAAACATGTGCAAAGAAATAAAAGAGGAAATCGAGTAAGGAACAAGAGACTACCAAAAATGTCTGACCAAAGATTTATAAAGCTTCTAAAAGCAGAATCCCACAGTGCTTAGGGTCAAATAGCAGAACAAACATAACTGACAAGAAAATAGTGGCAGAGCTAAAGAAGCACAATGTAGAGAGACACAGAGATGAAAAAACTAGGATAAACCTTCACAGATACAGAAGACAGAAGCGAAGGGCACAGGTGGAGTTTGACTGTCAGTCCCAACCTTTGTAGCAAGACCTAGGGAATCTGCCAGAAAGTCAGACCTGCAGCTGGTCGGTTTCCTTCCTGGTACCTGGCTCTCATCTTCCAAGTCACACCTGATTCAACGTTCTGTGGGAAGTAGCAATCTGGTGCCTACAAGTGGCTTGGTCTTCTAACTGGGAAGTCTGTACTCAGTCATCACAGTCCTCCTGTGGCTCATGGTCATCCCTCCTGCTGATGACAAGAGGAAAGGACTCCCCCTCCTCCTGATTCAGCCCTCCTGGCGGTCTCCAACCAGATCCCAACTTTGATGCCAAAGAACTCCGACAGGTGAGAGATTCTGTGGGTTTGGGCTTTGCCTAAATCCATCCACCAGTGTTTTCTTTTGCAAATATAAGTGCATTACACATTCCTCTCCCCTCCCTTCCCCCTCCTCTCTCTCTCTCTCTCTCTCTCTCTCTCTCTCTGCATCTCTCACTCATCAGTGCTCCAAAAAAGCACCCTGGGGTTGCCTCACCCTCCAGGCACACTCCCATGGTTGCTCAGACTCCGGTGGAGAAGTGCGGGGTTAGAGAGTGTGCATGACACACCCTGGGCCACAAAGCCCATTCTCATGTCCGCCAGCCTGGAAGAAGGGGGCAAATGGAATCATTTTTGGCCTTCACCATCTGCACCTAGATCTTGACCGTGCCTTGGAATTTGAGCCAAATGGCAAGTGGCTGTGTAGGATAAATCAATTCAGCTAGTACTGTGAAAACAGCTCCAAGGGAGTTCACAGTTAAGCAGAACTGGTTTCTTACCATCAAGGAGCTTGCGGTCTGGCAGGAGAGATAGGCGGACGCCCAACAACATAATGACAGCTTATCTTCTAGGTGTCACCTCCTAGATTGTTTTTTGGTCACTTTCTCCTCACACTGACAGTAGCTCTCTGTTATCCTCTAATGAACATACTCACTGCTTGTCATTCGATAGTCTGCATTTGTCTCTTCCATGAGATCCTAACTGATGGAGGGCAAATGGCTATGAAGTCATATGAGTAGCACGGGGCCCACAGTGTAAATGTTGAACGGAGTGGATCATGCTTGGATTTCACGTATGTACAGTTCACACACACGCACACGTGTACACACACATGCACGCGTGCGCACACACACACCTCCTTAAAGCCTTTCCAAACCTATTCTCTTTGGGTTGCCGATCTGATGCCCATGGAATGGCTCTCTAGCTGGAGTTGGCAGGAGGGCAGACAGGGGCCTGGAAGGGAGAGTGGCTATTCTGGGCACTGGCTAATCTGTTGTCCAGGGGTTCCTCTCCACTCCAGGACCTGCCAAGGGTAGTTGGGACTCTTGACTAACACCAGTGAGTCTATGCCAGCAAGCACTCTCCTCCTCTCAGTGCTGGTCTTCACCTCATGGGCAGGGGTGATGTGCTCCGAAATAAAGCCACTCACAGCTCTTCCCACCCAGCATCTGTCTATCTGGCGGGGAACCCCTGAGGCTGCTTATAACCTTCCTGGACACAGGACACCTTGCGTCATCAAAAGCCACCTACCTTGCCTTCTTTACAATGTGCCAATCTAGGTGACTGGTTACCATCCTTTCTCAAAATTCTTCAGCTGCTGGGATTGACTCAAGGGAAGCTCTCGCCTGGTTTCCGTACTGACTTAGTACTGGACACTTGGTTCTCCACTGCCAAGAATACCTCATTAGAAACCTTGCTTTAGCCGGGCTCGGTGGCTCAGCCTGTAATCCCACGCCTTTGGGAGGCTGAGGTGAGTGGATTGCCTGAGCCCGAGGGTTCGAGACCCACCTGGGCAGCGAGACCTCATCTCTACAATACATCAAAAAAATCAGCTGGGCATGGTAGCACACGCCTGTAATTCCGGCTACTCGGAAGGCGGAGGTGGAAGGATCGCCGGAGTCCGGCAGGTTGAGTATGCGTTGGCCGTGTGCGGCCGCTGCACTCCAGTGTGGGCGACCGAGGGAGATTCCAAGTCAAAAAAAAAAAAAAAAAAGAAGAAGAAACCTTGCTTTGGCCTTCCGCTTTCTTTAATCTCCAAAATTGTCAGAGACGTGGGCAGGAAGTAGGACGAAGATCAGAAACGGGTCTTGAACGATCAGGGAACACATGGAGTCCTGGGACAAGAGATTTTGCCTGGGGAGGTGGTTGTAATAACGCTTAACACATAAATAGTATCTTCTAATCATCAGGCACTGTTTCAAGCTTTTTATGCATAGTAAACTAATTTAATCTTCATGACAACTCCTTGAAATTAGGTACTAATTCTATCAACATTTCGCAGCCAAGGAAAGGGTTACACAGAGAGGTTATGTAACTGGTTAAAGGCCGTGGGGTGAGTGACGGAAGCAGGATTTAAACCTTGACCATCTATACCCATTATGCCATCCTGCTGCTTGAGGGCAGAAGACCAGACATGCATCCAGTGGCAGTCTCTGGTTGCACATGGAGTGGGATCATAGCTCAACAAGCAGAAGGTGGCTGGTGTTTGGGGTCAGGACTCCACAGACAGTTCAGAGCCGGGGAGGATCAGGCACTGGATTGCAAGGCTGATGGTCACCTACCCAGCTAAGAATGGCGAGAGCCAGAGGAACCAGAGGGGCTGAGTGGTAGGAACATAAGGAAAAGCAAAATGTCTCGAGGCTATCCTGACTCAGAGATACCCCTCGCCCAGTTTACACAGGGCTGCATGCATCGGATCAGGAGCTTTCTGTATTCAGGCATTTGGAGAGATCGAGCAGACTTCTGTCAACAATTGCGCCCAGTCCAGACTTCATGCTAGAGCTGCATTAACTATACGTCTTTATGGCTCCAACCACTTGTGTCCCCAGTTTTTTATTACACGAATCTCTGCCATGCTGGAATTTAGGGAAGTATGCCTTCCTCTTATTCTTGTTCTCAAAAGACTTCCGGCAGCTGCCAGTGAACCCAAATGGCTTCTTTGGCCTTCCGCTGATCTTTTTTGAGCCTCCTTTTTTGATGCGAAGAGAAAACTTCCAGTTTGAGCATTACCTGAAAAAGGCTTCTTTACTGACTAGGAATCATTGACTCCAAGTGGGGGTTGTGTGTGTGTGTGTGTGTGTGTTGTGTGCGGATGATCAGGCATTACCCTGTCTGGAGCAGGCTTTTTGGGGGTGGGGTGCAGAGAGAAGAGAATGCAAATTGCCTGTAAAAAACATTTCCCTGCCTTTCTGTGTGTTCTCTTCCGTTGCACATGACCAAAGAGAGGGTTTAAGGAGGAAATAGGGAGGGATCTGACTCTAGCACGCGTCTTTCTTACTTGGTGATTCACGTTTGCCACATGATCTTCGAAAATACGAAGGCAGAGGAGGAGGGGAAGATGAAAGGAGGAAACACGGCAACAGAAGTGAGAGAGAGGAGAGGAGAGGAGAATGGTGGGAAAAGGGGTGAAGAGACAGAAGAGAGAGGAGAAGCCAGAACGGAGCCGGAGCAGCCGCGGAGATGCTCTCACCTGAGGGCTGTGGGGGCCGAGCCCACTCGATGAAGGGGTGGCGGTGCTGGATGATGGCTCGCTGGCACTTCTCCACGTTCCCATTCTGCTCAATCATGTCCACGATTTCCTGAATCCACGTTGTCCCTGAGGCAGGGAAGGCAAGGATGAGAAGCAGACACCCGCGAAGAAGTCTTCCCAGGAGTTCTGAGTAAACCCAGGGAACGTGGAGCCTGGTGTCTGGGGAACCCGCCCCTCGGGTCACAGTCCTGGCAGCTAGGAGGGATGGACATCCGTGGGAGACAGACGGTGGGTCTCGGCAGGGAGTCGAGTAGCACAGGCAAGGCTCAGCCCACCCGAGAGCGGTGCGTGGTGGCAGAGCACAGCAGGGGGGCCTCAGGCCTTCACGTGTGTCCCCAGGAAAGCCTGGGGATGTCGGGCAACCCCACTGCAAGCCTCCTCATGGCGGGATGAAGAAGAAGCGGTTTCCTGTGCAGGGGAACCTAATTTAGGTGAGACGCCTCTGCTGGCTGAGTGGGCCGAGGTCTTTGCCGTCTCCCTGCCCCACAGTCACCTGATTTAGGGTAGGTACAGATGAGGAGGTCATCCGACTTGGCCTCAAAGCTCTGGATCTGGCTCCAGTTGTCCACGCTTGTAGCCTGCAGAAGGACCCCTGCCACCTCTCTCAGTTGTGTCTGTTTCTTCAACTCTGTGCTCAGGGCCATAGTGTCTCGGGGGTGAGGGAGTCCCTCTGGGAAGAAAACAGAGGAGACCTTTTAAAAAATGGTGGTAAGAGCTGGGCTCGGTGGCTCAGCCTGTCATCCCGCGTCTTTGGGAGGCTGAGGTGAGTGGATTGCCTGAGCCCGCGGGTTCGAGACCCGCCTGGGCAGCGAGACCTCATCTCTACAATAAATCAAAAAATCAGCTGGGCGTGGTAGCGCATGCCTGTAATTCCGGCTACTTGGAAGGCTGAGGGGGAAGGATTGCCGGAGTTCAGCAGCTCGAGGCTGCGGTGGCCGGGAGCAGCCACTGTACTCCAGTCTGGGCGACAGAGTGAGATTCCAACTCACAAAAAAAAAAAAAAATGGTGGTAAGATGCACATAACATCAAAGTGGCCACTTTAACCGCTTGTAGGTGTATAGCTCAGAGATATTAATTGCACTCCCATTGTCATACCACCATCATCACTATCTGTCTCCAGACCTTTCTCATCTTCCCAAATGGGAGCTTGGTCCCCTTTAAACCAGCATTCCCTGTCGCCGCCTTCCCAGGCCCAGCAGCCATCATTCTACTTTCTGTCTCTACAGGCCTTCCGTAGGTGAGGCCCTGGAATATTCGTCCTTTTGTGAATGGCCTATTTAACTTAGCTTGATATCTTCAAAGATCGTTCATGTTGTAGCATGTGACGGGACTTTCTTCCTTTTTAGGGCTGAATAATATTCCATTGTATATTTGTAACACATTTTACTTACCCACTCATGCCTTGATAGAACCTTTTGGCTATTATGAATAATGCTGCTACAAACATGGGTGTACAAATATCTCTTTGAGTTACTGCTTTCAATTCTTTTGGGCATATACCCCAAAGTGAAATTGTTGGCCATCGGCGGAACTGCTATACTCTTATCATACAACGGCTGTACCATTTTATTTTCCACCAGCAGTGCACAAGGGTTCCAGTTTTTCCAAACGGTCACCAGCACTTGTATATTTTTGGTGTGGTTTTGTTTTTGGTGATAACATCTTATTGGGTGTGAGGTGACGTCTCAGTATGGTTTGAATTTGCATTCCTTGATGATTAATGATGTCAAGCGTCTTGTCATGTGCTTATTGACCATTTACAGGAGACATGTCTATCAAATCCTTTGCCCATTTTTGCAATGGGTTTTTGTTGTTGTTGTTGATGTATTGAAGGAAGATTCTAAGTGAACAAACAGAGGAAGGCAGGAGAAGTGGAATAATTGGCTCCTGGGGTCTCAGAAGACAGTTACTACGACTGCTAATAGTGAAATGACAATAGTTGAAAGCTAGCATTTATCAAACTCCTAAATTTGCCGTAAGTGGGCTGAGTTCTTTATATATATTAACTTGTTTTGTCTCTTGCTTAATATGAGTGATAGAACTTTAGAGTTGGAAGGGTCCTTACAGCAATCTAACAGTAAATGATTGCTGGAGACTGAATAGAAGAATCTAGTCCAGCAGTGATGGACCAGGTGAGGGAACTGGTGTCCAGCTTAGCGAGGTTAGTTTTCATGGTGGCTTCTGTCCCTAGAATGAGTCAAGCCCTTTAGGATACAGACTATGTTTTCAGAGAATGAAAGGTGATTTATTTTTGGAAAAATTTCAAATATAAGAAGCAGCTGTGTTTATAATATATCAAAGAAGACACAGTTTGGATGATTCTCATGAGATTGTGGTATGCTCGACTTCAGAAGAGAAGAGACGAGAACTAACATTTCTTACAGGTCTTCTATGTTAGGTCCTCCACAAACTTTACTTTCTTTTTTTTTTTGAGTTGGAGTCTCACCGCATCGCCCAGACTGAAGAGCAGTGGCATGCTCCCGGCCACCGTAGCCTTAACCTGCTGGGCTCCGGCGATCCTTCCGCCTCAGCCTTCCAAGTAGCCAGAACTGCAGGTGCCCGCCACCACACCCGGCTAATTTTTGATTTATTGTAGAGATGAGGTCTCACTAAGTTGCCTGGGCTGATCTTGAACCCGCAGGCTCAGGTAATCCATTAGCCTCTGCTTTCCAAAGTGCTGGGATTACAGGCTGAGCCACTGAGCCCGGCCTATTTTGGTGTACTTCTATCTGTCTTTTTCAAATATCTATTGTGGTAGGCAGAATAATGATCCCCAAAGATTTCCATGTTCACATCCCTTAATATATTACACTACGTGACAAAGATACTCTGCAGAAGGAGTTAAGACTAAGGACCTTAAGGCAATGAGGGTGTCCTGGGTTATCTAGGGGCCCTAACATAACCACAAGGTCCCTTAAAAGTGGACAAGGGGACAGAAGAGCCAGGCAGAATGATATGGTAGAAGAAGAGGCTGGAGAGATTTGAAGCACGAGGATGACTCATTCTGCCATTTCTGACTTGAAGACAACAGAGAGCATGAGCCAAGACATGCCCTCCAGAAGCCGAGAATGAATCCCTGCCAACAGCCAACAAGAAATGGAACCTTAGTCCTACAGCCACATGACTCCGAATTTTGCCAACAACCAGAATGAACTGGGAAGGGATTCTTCTCCAGATGCTCCAGGAAGGAACACAGCCCTGCCCTGCCAACTCCTTGATTCACCCAAAGACACCTGTTTGGACTTCTGACTTACACAGGCGTGAGATAATAAACTCATGTTGTTTTCAACTGCTAAATTTATGATAATTTGCTATGGTGACAACAGAAAACTATTTATACATATGCATATGTAAAAAGAAAAACTATAAAAAAACTCATTGGATGCTGCAGAGTTTGGATGTGGTTTTTCTCCACCAAAATACACATCGAAGTTTAATTGTCAATGTGGCAGCGTTGGGAGGTGGAATCTAGTGGCAGGTATTTGGGTCACGGGGTCCGTTCCTTCATAAATAAATTAGTGGTGTCTCCTGGGAGTAAGAGAATGCAGTCTCTTCGCACATGCCTGTTTTTCTTTTTTTTCTTTTTAACTTAATTATTTAATTTAATTTATAAGATGTGGGGTACAATTCAAGGTTAGGTATACAAATGTCCATTATGCAGATACCCTTGTTGATGAGATATGCCCCTCCATCCCCGGCAGTTTCCCACTACTGCCAATCCCTTTCTTATAGTATTATGGTAAATGTTCAGGGTCTGCTTATGAGTGAGAACATATGGTACTCTGTTCTTTGTTTCTGTGATAGATCACTGTGTATGATAGACGCTAAATCCATCCAAGTTGCTGCGAAGTCCTTGTGTTTGTCCTTCTTTATGGCTGTGTAATATTCCGCTGTGTATGTGTACCACATTTTAAAAATCCAGTCCAGTTTCGATGAGCAGAATGGTTGGGTCCATGTTTTGCTATTGTGAATAGAACTGCAACAAACCTGACATGCCTGCTTTACTTTCTGCTTGTCTGCCATGTCTCAATGCAGCAGATGGTCCTCCCCAGAAGCCAAGCAGATGCCAGCACCATGCTCTTGGACTCTGCAGCCATTTGAATCATGAGCCAAATAAACCTCTTTTCCTTATAAATTATCCAGTCTCAGATGTTCCAATACCACAATAAGACTAAGACAGATGCTATTATAGCCTCGATTGTGTTTCTCCTAAATGCATATGTTTAAGTCCTAACCCCCAGTACCTCAGCATGGGACTATACTTGGAGACAGGGTCTTTAAAGAGATGATTTAATTAAAATGAGGCCATTAGGGTGAGCCTTAATCCAGTGTGACCGGTGTCTACAAAGAGACACATGGAAAAAAGACCATGTGAAGACACAGTGAGAAGGTGGCTGTCTGCACACCAAGGAGAGAGGCCTTAGGAGAAATCAAACCTGCTGACTCCTTAATCTCAGACCTCCAGACTCCAGAACTTTGAGACCATACATTTCCATTGTTTAAGATTCCAGTCAGTAGTATTTTGTTACGGCAATCCTAGCAAACTAATACAGATACCTTTGGTTGAAGTTCAGAAACCCAACGGTTTCTTTTGAGAACTGGTAAATAAAGTAAAAGAATTGATCATTTGTCTTGATTTTCCCATATTTCTTGTACCTCTGCACAACCAAATTGTAGGCGAAAGGATATTTGTCTTTATGGAAGCATTGACACAAACAGATGAACAATAAATTACAGAATTGTAATGTCCTTTTGTGCCTTGATGAATTACATAATCTAGCATCTAACATTCAGGGCTCCTAATATCACAAAAGAAAGATGGTTAGACATTGTGTGCCTCTTGATAAAGAACACATTGTCTATGAAATGGTACTGCCACAAATGTTGGACCTGAACCTGTCTCCAAATACTAGTTTACAGAAAAATCAGAGAACAAAGAAACAAGTTAAACTACACCACTGCAATTAAATCAGCAAACTCTCGAAAGTCTACAGGACTACAACACACGTCCTTCAGATAAATGGCGAGGGAATTTTTATTTTTATTTTTTGAGTTGAAGTCTCACTCTGTCTCCAGGCTGGAGTGCAGTGGCACGCCCATGGCCACTGCAGCCTCAACCTATAGGACTCAGGTGATCCTTTCACCTCAACCTTCCAAGTAGCTGGAACCACAGGCATGTGCTACCACACCTGGCTAATTTTTTAATTTATTGTAGAGACGAAGTCTTGCTAAGTTGCCTGGCCTTGTCTCAAACCTGTGGGCTCAGGAAATCCACTCGCCTCAGTCTCCTAAAGTGCAGGAATTATAGGCTTGAGCCACTGCGCCCAGTGGGAATTTTTTAATTTTTTAAAATTTTTTTGAGTTGGAGTTTTATTTTTTTGAGACTGGAGTGCAGTGGCCGCTCCCGGTCAGCACAGCCTCGACCTGCTGGGCTCCGGCAATCCTTCCGCCTCAGCCTTCCAAGTAGCTGGAACTACAGGCGCGCACTACCATGCCCAGCTAATTTTTTGATTTATTGTAGAGATGAGGTCTTGCCAAGTTGCCCAGGTGGGTCTTGAACCTGCGGGCGCAGGCAATCCACTCACCTCGGCCTCCCAAAGTGCAGGAATACAGGCTGAGCCACTGAGCCCGACTGGGAATATTTTTTTAATGGAGGGGTTTTGTCTTGTAATAGTGCATCATACGCATATTTGCTTTGTTTGGTTTCTGTATTTGTGGTACACTTAACAATACAAGATTGAGTTCGGAATATGAATCTAGAGGGTGGAGCAGGACCATGTGTCATCAGCACACATGGTCACTCTCTTGGAGAGTTGGACACATGGCACATAGATTGCCCCTTAAGCAGCCAGCCAGAATCTTTTTCATTCTTCCAGGCTGGTTTGCACAAGGCCTCTTTTGTAAAGCATACCCTGATTCTATGATAGACATAATTGCTCCTTCCCATGGGACTCTGTAGAATTTGTGTGCAAATGGCAAGAGTCCTTACTCCCAGTCCTGTAACTACTTGTCTGTAAGTCACGGTCCCTGGAGTACAGGGGCTGATCCAGTGCTCTTGTATCTAAGCCAGTGGCTGGAATGAAAGGAAGGCTTTCACAGGCAGAAGACGTAGCCTTGGCCAGAGAAACCAGCTGGCCCTGGGGGAGGGCCTGCGGAGGAAAGGACATCTGGGAAAAAGTCAGGGTGGAAGAGAGAGATGGTCTTATGGGGGAAACAGCATTGTACGTGATTGCCTGGGGTCCCAAATTTCTAAATCTAGCGTTGTTAGACTAGGGTTTATTGGCTCCAAATGTCTTTTATAGCATTTTTTCAGGTTTTTGGGATCTTTTCTGTCTTGAGAGAATCCATCTATACTGTAACACCTATATGGCTAGAGCAAAGATAAAAAATCAAACGAATGAGACAAGTACAGAATTTCTTTTAAGCCGTATTCTTACCTTCACGTTCCAGCTGAAAGACAGCAGCCCAAAGGCCTGACCAAGGGTCAGTGGACACAGAAAGAACATTCCAAGGAAGCATTAGGCTTATTTCCTGGGTACGGCAATTGAGGAGGCTCAAATTACCCATGTGTCCGAGGTACAGGGGTGCTTAGCAAGGAGCGGGCACTTTAGGAGGCTCCCAGCATCAACGCTAGAATCAGGACACACCAGAAACAAACCCCGTGACCTGGCCTGGGGAGGCAGGACTGCTTACTGCTCCATGATCACTCAGTGTGGCCCTGCCCGGCTCTGCAAATCTCAGCTCCCCTGAGTTCAGGCAGATTCCCAGAACACTCTGCAGCCCGCGCTCTGGCCCCTCCTTCTTCCCTCTGGCCCAGAATCTTAAACAGGTAGGGCTTGGGGTTGGGGGAGGAAAGCTGCCTTGAGAACCCAAAGCATCCAGGTGCAACCAGGCTCCTGCTCCTGTGGGGACCTTCCTTTTCCTGGCTTCCCATCCTGAGACTCGCTTTCTGGATCTACGAAATGTGAGTGACACTGACGTGGATCGTCTCCAGTGGTAGGTTTTGTTTTAGTCTTGAGAACCCCCAAATTCATTTCGGCATGGTTTCTTTGGGAAATGCCTTTCAAGTTTCAAAAGAAAGTCTATCTGAGCACTATCAATTTTTAACTGAGACATTCTGTGTTAGTTTCTGGTCCTCGCTGTCACCTTCTTATGAGAAGATAATTGAACCCTTCAAAAGCAGAAGAAAGTAATCATGTGACCAGTAATCTACCAGGTCTTCCTAAAGTCCAAATACACTTTTAGGATTTCTCACGTCACTAGGCAATGTTCTATACATATGTTAGAAATTGAATATTCTAGCAAATAACAGATAATATAGTAAGCAAAACAGCATATTGCAAAATCAGGTCTTCAGAATGATCTTTGTAAAAACAGCTTTGCCTATACCAAACTGTATGTACATTGTGTTAGCAATACATCTCTTGGGATGGGGTTGTGTGACTCTGGGGTGGAAGCCAAGCGTATGGGGAAATGTCTCCCACTGCTCCTTCAATCTGTTTTTGTGGCGATAACGCCCCTCTAGTTCCAGGTGGGATCTTGGGCCGTTCCCATGTCCCTCCTAGTTAATTGACAGTACTGCTGTTACTTTACATGAGAGCAGCGGTACCTCTGCAATTAGATTTTAATCTTGGATCGAGACTTTTATTTTGGTCAGAGGTGAGGCTTCTCCCATCCCTTCGCACTCAGACCCAAATTTAGGGAACGAGATAACGAGATAGAACTGGTTCTGTCCTCTGTGTCCCCCAGCTCTGCCCTCACTCACTAGCTGTCGGGTTGGACTCTGCTAGGACCACAGATGGGAAAAGGAGAAGAAGGAAGGGAAAGGGAAATCGCTTACACGGCGGGGGACTTTTGTGGTTTCTGACCTGGCAGATCTCTGAAGCCGAGCCTTTCTCTTGTGGGACACTCGGATGTCCTCTTTGGAGATCCCAGACCGGCTCATGCTCACTGGCCATTCTTAGATCATGGGTACACTTGCCCTGGCTAGGGCCAGGGGCTCTCCTCCCAGCTCTGGCTCTTTGTCAGGGAGCTCCACTGGGACTGTCTCTTGGGTAGTCCACACCGGTCTACGGGCAATGCTGACCATAGTAGTCATCATCGTTGACTGCCCATCAACGGTGGACTGGAAATAAGATGTAGAAATAAAATGTAGTCTATGTCCACAACGAAATACTATGTAGTCACAAAAAGAATTAAATCATGTCATTTGCAGGAACGTGAATGCAGCTGGATGCCATCCTTCTAAGTGAATTATCACAGAAGCAGAAAACTGAATACCACGTGTTCTCATTTATAAATGGGAACTAAACCCCAGGCACACAGGGATACAAGAATGGGAGCAATCGACACTGGGGACAACTAAAAGGAGAAGGAAGGAGAGGACATAAGGATATCGTGCTCACCACCTGGGAGGTGGGCTCGCCAGAAGTCCCAACCTCACCATCGCCCGATTTACCTATGTCAAAAAACTGCACATGCATTCTTTATCTAAAATAAAATTTAAATGAAAAGAAGTAACACTGTGCTTGTGTCTGCCTTTTGCCCAGCATTGTGTCTGTGAAAGTAATTCATGTTGTTACATGTAGCTGTAGTATTTTTTTTTCTTTACTTTTTCATTGCACTGCAAGAGTGAAAGATGAGCCCAGGAGATGAATTCATCTATCTCATTAGATGTACAGATATTTAGCTTCAGTAGGCACTGCCAATGTTTCAAAATGGTGGCACCAATTTACTCACCCTCGCTATATATCAGCAGCAGTAGTGAATATTTTAGAATGATCCCACTTATAATGACATCAGAAAACATTAAATACTAAGGAAGAAATCTAACACTGGATGTATTCATACCACCAAATGAATCCAATTGAAAGTTAAAAATATCCAAACAAATGGAAGGATTTATTATGTCCATACATTAAAAAAATCAGTAGTGTAAAGATGTTAATTCTCTTTAAATTGATCTATAGATTCAGTGTAATTCCTATCAAAATCTGAGAATTTTTTTCTAGAATAGAATTGATAAATTGATTCCAAAATTTATATAGAAACACAAAGAGCCGAGAATAACCATGACAATCTTGAAGAAAAACGAACCTGCAGAACTTACACTACCTGGCATCAAGAGTTATTACTAAATACCATTAATTAAGACAGTGTGGTCTTTGCACAAGGATAGACAAACAGACCAATGAAACAGAATGGTGAGTCCAAAACACACCTACATGTAGACAGCCACCTGATTATGAGGGGGTGGCACTGTGATGGAGAGGGATATGGAAATCTCTCTCACACCCATGTTGTCGTTAATATTTTTCATATTGGTTCCTAAGTCATAACCATACCTTGGATGTGGGCTATGATTTCCCACTTATTTATTGGAAAGGTCACCATACCTTTTCAATCAGTAGTGCTGCGTCTTTTGGATATCCAATTGGAAAAAACTGAATCATTCCCATTGTGTATTATACATAAAAAAATCACATCTTAGTGAATTGTAAATCTAAATGTGAGAGGTCAAAACAATAAAACTCTTACAAGAAAACATAAGACGATATTTTTTTGACCTTTGAGAAAGTCAAGATTTATTAAATAGGTTAAAATAAGCACCCACTGTACATGAAAACAATCATTAAACTGGATTAAATTAAAATGAAGAACATCATTTATCAAAAACACCATGAAACGAGTAAAAAGGTAAGTCAAGAAGTGAGAGAAAATATTTGCAATATGTAAGTTGCCAAGCAAATCTAGATTATATAAAGAACTCCTTCAAATTCACGAGGAAAAAGATGAACAACCTAGTATAAAAGTGAACAAAAGACTTGAACAGGTACTCTGTAAATGATAATTTGACTAAAAAGACAATGAAGATATTAACATCAGCAATTACCAGAGATGCTTAATAATGATGTAATATGTTTTACTATGTGATTGGTGCTGTTTTAGGAATCATACATTTTTACTATTTCATATAGACCTCTAGCAACCCTGTATGGTGGCTGCTATGATCTGTTCCCCTGCTTTGGCGACACCAAAGTATTTGAGGGGTAAATGGTCTGTTTGTCTATCCTTGCACAAAGACTACACTGTCTTCATTAGCGCATGTCCCAAATCACCGCAACAGAACTAGGATGTGAGTTCCAGCAGATTGCTTCCCTCATTTGGGCTTTTGGACACCACACCACTCTCCCTTTTAGGCCCGTCTTGGGTAGCTTTGCTTGCTGGTGAAGGTAGAGTTCTGGGATTGGCACCGCATGAGGAGCACTTGCAGGGTCACTTCCCTCAAGGCCAGACCTTCTGGCTGGATTTTGGGAGGCCAAGGGCCTCAGCTACTTTCTCACAGCAAAGCCATGGCCTGAAGCCCCTCCCCAGATGCCCGCGGGAACTCTGGGCCACATCTTTGCAACAGTTAAACTCACTCTATCCGTTCTGGAAACCATTTGCTCATCCTTGGGGCTTTATATCCTAAATGCAAAGAGTAACTTGATGGGTAGAATGTGAGGCACCTTTAGAAGTATCACTTTTTAAAGACATTTTTCTCATGAGTCAGGGTCGTCTGAAATTCATTCTTATCTTTTAAGGGACTAACACTCTCACACACTTTTACAGATTAAAAGCATATTTTAAGTTTAATGTTGTAATTCATTTCATTTAAAAGACCAACTCAAGGAAAAGCTACACATACATTCTGTCTGTCTGTCTGATTCTGATTACTTACAATTGGCGTTGGAAGGGGAGCAGTGTGTCACCAGGCTAGGAAGTTGGGATCCGGCTCCAGGTTTTGCTGAAAGGGCCTTTGATCAGGGCAAGCATTCAGGCTCTTTGAGTACACCGACCCAGGGTTAACTGGCAGCCCAGAGTCCAATCACCGCTGGCCCCACCAATGAGATGTGTGGCCGTATCTTGGCAAAACCGCAGGTCATATGCTGCTACCGCTTTCTTATCCAAGAACTCATTTTCTGGGATCACCCTATCAGGGTTCTGATTAATGAGTTTACTTTTGACAGCATTGACCACACCTAGCTACAGAAACAGGGTTGGATTTCTGTCCTCTGGAGACAAGTGCACACAGGACGAATTGATTCCCTACTGTGGGAGGAAGTGACCGAGTATGAAAATGAGGCCACCCTGTGAGGACCATGTGAGATTTAAGTGCAGTTCCTGTGAGATTTAAGGAAGCTCACTGGGGATGGCTGCTCATTTAAATATTTGCTCCTGGCACCTGATACAGTTAGAGAAAGCCAGAAACTGCTGGAGGCAGAAGGGGGAGGCTGGAGATTCTATAAAAAGATGGACAAGATCCCAAAGGACTGTCCCTTCAGAAATAAAAGAGAGCGAATGAAGAGATATTGAGATTTCCATAGTAGACTAGTGAGTACTATCATTCACGCATTCATTCCGTCATTAGCATTTGCTGATCACCTGGCACTGTGTTAGACACTGAGAAAACAAAGAAATAAGAACTTTGTAAGACCTCTTAATAATTTATGAAGTTTAGCACTTGAATATG